AATAAATTTAAAAAAAAAGGCGATCGTTCAGACCCGTCCAGCTACGGGCCTATCGCCAACACCTCCTTGTTCTCCAAAATAATGGAGTCCATTGTAAACTGCCAGTTCATGAGGTACCTTGAGGATCATCAGCTGATCAGTGACTGTGAATACGGTTTCCGTCGTGGTGGATCAGGTGATCTTCTGGTCTACCTTACACATAGATAGGCGGAGGGAGTAGAGTCCAAGAGAGAGGCATTGGCCGTTAGTTTGGACGTTAGTTTATATTTGCAGTGTATTTCGTTAAGCAATACACAAGCGAATAGCCGTTCGTCGACATTGGGACGTCAAACATCTCAGACCCTCCTTCTCCCCTCCCCCCCTTGACCACGGATGCTGCAAAACACCCGAAACATCGGGAATTAAAAATAAGTTAAGTAAACGCGACAAAATCCGTATAAATAATTTTATTCAATAAACGGTAGTTAATTATGAGTCATACTTACATCAAAGTAATCTTCACAGAAATATACTATCATTATATAGTTATTTTAAATAGGCAATAAATATAAAATGAAAATCATATAGCTAATCGTACTCAGTTGCAAAGTCAATAAATCCGTCGCAAGTCGCTACAAATTGGGGCAAGCGTTATAACCATAAACGATGCTTAATTCGTCTAGCCACTTCACTGCAAATAAAGCATTGTATTTTTCCCTTACTCGTTTATAGTTTAATTACGAACCGTATAACAACAATATATACGTCATTTTTGATTGATGGAAACCAGTAAAGCTGCATCCACACGCCAATTTGTCACGAATATTGTCGTGTGTCCGTATTTTTCAACTCATAAATACAAAGCAATATACGTATTCATATGAATATGTAATTGAATAATTGTTTCTTTCTTACTTTTTAATTACGGTTGTTAAAAGTTGCTTTATACGTATTATGAAGGTAATAGGGTTATAAACCCGGTTAACTTTTTTACCGCAAGGATGAAAGGGTGTGATAGGTGAAAAAGTAAAAAAAGCCTACGGTAACAAGATTTTTCAATCGAGAATTTATTTTTCATAACATTTTCATCTATCAATAAATGCTGCTAAATACGTAAGCAAACTTAGTAAATTTCTTTCCGATTCTGACCATTTCAAAGTCTAAGGCGTTACAAATTTATTGATAATTATCACGCTTTTAAGTTTGGTGTGCATGACTTGAATTACGTTATTTTTAATGTAATTTTTTCAAGAAGTTAACTTTATAAAAAGTGAAAAATATCAATATCATAGGCTTCTTTGATATTGATATTTTTCAACTTCGTTAACCTATTACACCCTATTTTTCCTTTCGGTAAAAATGTCACCCGGTATAATATAAAACCCCTAAATGGAAAATATCAAACAAGTAATTTTCTTATTTCTCATAGAATATGGCTGATAAATGGGCACAAAGTCCACATATAAAAGATATTAAATTAAGAATAATATAAAATATAGAATACATATGAAATCAAAAATCAAAATTTAGATGAGTTGTCAACCTTGAGGGTTGATGTATGTCTTGTTAGTGATAAATTAGATAAATTCGTTTATGCACTTAAAAGACTAACCAATATAACAAGTAAAGAAGCTGCTATAACAGCTTATCATGGATATGTAGCGTCCGTGCTACGGTATGGTTTATTGATCTGGGGCAATTCAACGGTTTTTAATAGAGCATTCCTCATCCAAAAGAAATGTGTACGGGCGATTTGTAGATGTGGACCTTTTGATTCTTGTAAACCACTTTTTAAACAGTTAAAACTTATGACATTGTGTTGCATGTACGTGTATGAAATTGGAACATTTGTAAAAAAATATCCACATTTATTTCAAAGATGTACTCGTATTGATAATTATACAGATAAAACATTTCCTCGTAGAGATGTTACAAGATTATATTTACGAAAGTGTAAAACTGTCTTTTATCAGAAGAACTGTCCTAATATGTGTATAAGAGTATATAATAAAATCCCCAGCGATATTCGAAAATTGCCATTTAACTTCTTTCAAAAAACATTGAAACAATGGCTTATTCAGAATTGTTTTTATTCCCTAGATGAATTTTATTGTTATAGACCAAAGTGATATTTTAATATAATCTTGACTTGCCTTGATAACTGTTGACATGTACACCTTAACTTGACATTTTTTATTTTTTTTTATTTTATTTTATTTTGGTATTAAGACTGGATCAAATTTTGTATTATTTCTTGTTTATTGTTAACGTCTATGTATATGTGTGTTATTTATCTTGTGACATTTTATTCCTAGATTTATCACTAAATTGTAATTAATCATAGATCCATAAAACATTTGTATAGCACTAGACTGACAATTATAAAATTATATATTTGCATGCCACTGGCGAAATATGATTGTACCATACCAAATTATTAATCCTGTAACTACCATATTTCTTGCAAATAAATCATTATTATTATTATGGGGTATCTATATAGTTTTCTCATCTGGTTGGGTTCTATAAATATGTAATTATAAATGAAAAGATAAATATACATAAATATCAATAACATAAAATAAATATAAAAATACATAAATAAATAAAAGCCCAACCAGATGGAGGCCCTCGGCAGGGGAGACCAACCGGCCGAGGGTTAGGGGGAAAGGGAAAGAAACCGGCGGACGATGCGGGCGGTATCGAGGAGCACCGCCTTCTGCATTTGAGCCCGGAGCGGTCCGCCACGTAGTCCCAGTCGCCTCAGATGACCCGAGAGGCTGACTGGGATTAGCCCGTTTGCAGAGACGACTACAGGAATAATTTCGGTCGGCAGACCACCCCACATGTCGGTCACCTCGTGAGCCAGGTCCAGATATTTTGTTTGCTTGTCTGTTTCGGCTTTCACGAGGTTCTCGTCATACGGAATGGTAATGTCGACCAAAAATATCCTTGACTGTGCCCGGTCCATCAGCACAATATCAGGCTTATTCGCAAGAATAGTCCTGTCTGTGATGATGGCCCGGTCCCAGTAGAGCCTGGCGCGGTCATTTTCGAGCACGGCTTCCGGCAAGTACTTGTAATACGGCAATTTCCGATCCACGAGACCGTATTTCAGAGCGAGCTCCTGGTGTAGAATTCTGGCTACTAGATTGTGCCTGTGCAAGTACTCAGAGTTAGAAAGCGCCGAACAACCGGAGATGACATGCCTAAGTGATTCACCGGGATGGCGACAAGCTCGACAGACGTCGACGGTGCCATCCTTTAGGATGTATCTCCGATAGTTGTTGGTCTTAATAACCTGATCCTGTATTGCACAGACAAAACCCTCGGTTTCCCCGAAGAGGTCACCGAAACGTAACCAGTTGAGGGAGGCGACTGTATCTACGAAGGGCTCATGAAGAGCCCTGTAGATGCCTTGTAGCCTTGTAGAACCTCCCGTGGAGCTCCTTCTCCTTCCATACGGTCTCCCGGTCGGAAATGCTAAACACTGCTGGGTCCTGCCATTGCTCGTGGGCTAAGGATAGAGGGGTAAGCCCTTTATCACTAGAAATGACGTCATTATAGAATGGATCATCCGATCTCGCCAGGAAGTAATCACGGAGGCTGCACACTTCGAGATTATGCATGGTGAGCGCGCTCAGAAAACCACGCCCACCATGCTTTCGCGGCAAGTACAGCCTCATAACCGACGATCTCGGATGATGCATCCTATGGGACGTCATGGTAGTGCGGACTTTTCTATCCAGGGCGTTAAGTTCGGTCTGAGTCCACCTGAGTATGCCAAAGGTATATATGAGGACAGGCATGACCCAACCGTTATATGCGTGTGTTATTCACACCGGACAAAAAGGCTGTTAAGCACTTTGGTCAAGCGTGCATAAAACACGTCGCAAACTGACTGTTTCATACCAGCCTCATCGATACCGATGTTCTGTGACATACCCAGATATCGGTATGTTTCAGCCTCGGAAAGGGTCTTTAAGTTGACGGGCATAGATAAATCTATGCCCTCAGAGTTAGCAACCCTTCCCCTTTCAACATGAAGGACCGCACACTTATCCGTCCCCAGCTCCATTCCAATGGAATTGCTAAATTCACAAGTGATGTTTAGCAATTCCATAAGATGGGAGCGACTGGAGGCGAATAACTTGAGGTCATCCATGTAGAAAAGGTGGGTCACTTTTGTTCCTCCTTTCCGTAGCTGAAATCCTCTCCCGGAGCCCTCCAGTAAGGTACTGAGAGGGTTCAGAGAGAGGCAGAACCAGATTGGACTCAGACAATCGCCCTGGAAGATACCCCTTCTTATCCTTATGTGGTTCTCCGCAGCCATCATCCGCTCGCCCTGATAACAGAGGATCGCACTCCACTGCCCCATACACTGCTCGAGGAAGTCTCTAACTGTATAGTCAATCTTGTACAGCTCGAGGACCCTCTTTAGCCATGCATGGGGCACCGAGTCGAATGCTTTTCTGTAGTCTATCCAGGCAGCGGAGAAGTTCCGACGGTTGCGTTTTACCACTTTGCCAATGACCGCGTCAATGAGGAGTGGTTCCTTGGTTCCACGACCACCGCCCCCGACATCCATTTTGAGCGCGTGACATCACCTGATTTAGCTCCAGGTGACGAGTGATTCTCGCGCTCAAAATGGATGTCAGTGTCTTATATATAGTGGGTAGACACGTGATGTGGCGGTATTTGCTCGGGTCTGTGGTATCCTGATCTTTAGGAACCAAGTGAGTGATCCCAGTAGTGAAGAGGCTCGGGAGCGACTTCTGATCGAGAGCCTCTTGATACTGTCGGGCGAGCACAGCGTGACACACTACGAACCCCTTCAGCCAGTAATGATGCAGCCCGTCGAGCCCCGGACTTTTCCAGTTCGGGGTCCGACGGACCGCCTCAGCCACGTCTTCAGGCGTTATGGTGACGGGGTCCATAGGCGTAACACTTGCACTCTGGCTCGCCACAACTTCCATCCAAGGGCCCTCGCTGTGGTTTACGGGCTCTGACCACAGGCCACGCTAAAATGCGACAGTGTCAGCCTGATCCGGTCCTGGGGACGCTCCACATACCTCTGGTCGCTCCAATGATTTATAGAGCCTCTTCTGATCACTCTGGAAGAGACGATTTTGGTTGAACCGCCTTGACCTCTCGCTAAATCGTCGAATCCGCTTCCCCCAAGCAGCGATTTTTTGCTTCAGGTCATCTATGCGCTCCGTTAGTTTCTGCGTGATATCCGGCTGGGACAAGCTAATATTTGTCCCAGCAAACGCCATTCTAACTGTGCGCACAACTCTCGGTCTAATATTACCCGACCTGAAGCTTGTCAGTCTGCCGATAAGGGCCCTTGCCTTTGCGATACGGTCCTCGATTCTTTTTCTCCAGGCTGGGATGGCACTACCTTGTTGAGTAGCACGTCCAGCCATGGGAAGTTTGGCGCCAATAATACGGCATACTGCCAGTGCGGCGCCAAAAAGAATTGAGTCCGTCTCGCAAAGGTCCCGGCTGGCTTCCAAATAGGTCACCAGCATTGGGTTAAGAGCCCGCACGACAGCCCGATTTCGCTTGCTAAGGGGTATGCGGGGAAGTCGCGGTCGATTTTCGAGAGGCATGCTGCGCGTTTCCAGCATCGACTCTTCCAATATGCTTCTCATTTTTTCTAGTTCGTGGGGGACTATTCCATCATCATCTGAATCAACCACAAATGGAATATTGACGGCAGCGTCCACATTTGCAGTTTGCTGCGCAATCAGTTGCGCCGCATTCCCAGCCGTAGCATTTCCATCCGATGAGGGAACAGCCTCACGTCGTAGTTGTTCGAATTCGGCGTCACCAAATATGTTGAAGCGCAGGATGTACCGAACTCGGTCTGCCAGGTTTTGCTCAGTGACGGATAGAGATGTCTCCAGGTCTGCAAAAAAGCGATGCATCCGAGCCCGATATGCCAAACATCCGGTTTCCTCCCCTTTTGCCCTAAAGTACGCCCGCAGTGCGTTTGCGTTCATTGTTTGTGACCAACGCATGCGACGTGCTCCACCAGCGGCGGGTGCCGCCTGCTGGGTCCGATTATTATGGGGTATCTATATAGTTTTCTCATCTGGTTGGGTTCTATAAATATATAATTATAAATGAAAATGAAAAGATAAATATACATAAATATCAATAACATAAAATAAATATAAAAGTACATAAATAAATAAAAGCCCAACCAGATAGAGGCCCTCGGCAGGGGAGACCAAACGGCTGAGGGTTAGGGGGAAAGGGAAAGAAACCGGCGGACGATGCGGGCGGTATCGAGGAGCACCGCCTTCTGCATTTGAACCTGGAGCGGTCCGCCACGTAGTCCCAGCCGCCTCAAATGACCCGAGAGGCTGACTGGGATTAGCCCGTTTGCAGAGACGACTACAGGAATAATTTCGGTCGGCAGACCACCCCACATGTCGGTCACCTCGTGAGCCAGGTCCAGATATTTTGTTTGCTTGTCTGTTTCGGCTTTCACGAGGTTCTCGTCATACGGAATGGTAATGTCGACCAAAAATATCCTTGACTGTGCCCGGTCCATCAGCACAATATCAGGCTTATTCGCAAGAATAGTCCTGTCTGTGATGATGGCCCGGTCCCAATAGAGCCTGGCGCGATCATTTTCGAGCACGGCTTCCGGCAAGTACTTGTAATACGGCAATTTCCGATCCACGAGACCGTATTTCAGAGCGAGCTCCTGGTGTAGAATTCTGGCTACTAGGTTGTGCCTGTGCAAGTACTCAGAGTTAGAAAGCGCCGAACAACCGGAGATAACATGCCTAAGTGACTCACCGGGATGGCGACAAGCTCGACAGATGTCGACGGTGCCATCCTTTAGGATGTATCTCCGATAGTTGTTGGTCTTAATAACCTGATCCTGTATTGCACAGACAAAATCCTCGGTTTCCCCGAAGAGATCACCAAAGCGTAGCCAGTGGAGGGAGGCTACTGTGTCTACGAAAGGCTCATGTAGAGCCTTGTAGAACCTCCCGTGGAGCTCCTTCTCCTTCCATACGGTCTCCCGGTCGGAAATGCTCTGCACTGCCGGGTCTTGCCATTGCTCGTTGGCTAAGGATAGAGGGGTAAGTCCTTTATCACAAGAAATGACGTCCTTATGGAATGGATCATCAGATCTCGCTAGGAAGTAATCACGGAGGCTGCACACTTCGCGATTATGCATGGTGAGCGCGCTCAAGAAGCCACGACCACCATGCTTCCGCGACAAGTACAGCCTCATTACCGACGATCTCGGATGATGCATCCTATGGGACGTCATGGTAGTGCGGACTTTTCTATCCAGGGCGTTAAGTTCAGTCTGAGTCCACCTGAGTATGCCAAAGGTATAAATGAGGACAGGCACGACCCAGCCGTTATATGCGTGTGCCTTATTCACACCGTACAAAAGGCTGTTAAGCACTTTGGTCAAGCGTGCATAAAACACGTCGCAAACTGACTGTTTCATACCAGTCTCATCGATACCGATGTTTTGTGACATACCCAGGTATCGGTATGTTTCAGCCTCGGAAAGGGTCCTTAAGTTGACGGGCATAGATAAGTCTACGCCCTCAGAGTTAGCAACCCTTCCCCTTTCAACATGGAGGACCGCACACTTATCCGTCCCAAGCTCCATTCCAATGGAATTGCTAAATTCACAAGTGATGTTTAGCAATTCCATAAGATGGGAGCGACTGGAGGCAAATAACTTGAGGTCATCCATATAGAAAAGGTGGGTCACTTTTGTCCCTCCTTTCCGTAGCTGAAATCCCCTCCCGGAGCCCTCCAGTAAGGTACTGAGAGGGTTCAGAGAGAGGCAGAACCAGATTGGACTCAGACAATCACCCTGGAAGATACCCCTTCTTATCCTTATGTGGTTCTCCGCAGCCATCATCCGCTCGCCCAGATGACAAAGGATCGTACTCCACTGCCCCATACACTGCTCGAGGAAGTCTCCAACTGTACAGTCTATCTTGTACAGCTCGAGGACTCTCTTTAGCCATGTATGGGGCACCGAGTCCAATGCCTTTCTGTAGTCTATCCAGGCGGCGGAGAAGTTCCGACGGTTGCGTTTCACCACTTTGCCAATGACCGCGTCAATGAGGAGTGGTTCCTTGGTTCCACGACCACCGCCCCGACATCCATTTTGAGCGCGCGACATCACCTGATTTGAGTCCAGGTGACAAGTGATTCTCGCGCTCAAAATGGATGTTAGTGTCTTGTATATGGTCGGTAGACACGTGATGGGGCGGTATTTGCTCGGGTCTGTGGTACCCTGGTCTTTAGGAACCAAATGAGTGATCCCAGTAGTGAAGAAGCTTGGGAGCGACTTCTGGTTGTGAGCCTCTTGAAACTGTCGGGCGAGCACAGAGTGACACACCATGAACCCCTTCAGCCAGTAGTGATGCAGTCCGTCAAGCCCCGGACTTTTCCAGTTCGGGGCCCTACGGACCGCCTCAGCTACGTCATCCGGCGTTAAGATGACGGGGTCCATGGGCGTAATACCCGCACACTGAATCGCCACAACTTCCGTCCAAGGGCCCTCGCTGTGGTTTACGGGCTCTGACCACAGGCCGCGCCAGAATGCTACAGTGTCGGCCTGATTCGGTGCTGGACCCGTTCCACTTACCATTGGTCGCTCCAATGATTCATAGAGCCTCTTCTGATCACTCTGGAAGAGACGATTCTGGTTGAACCGTGTCGACCTCTCGGTATATCGCCGAATCCGCTTTCCCCAAGCAGCGATTCTCTGCTTCAGATCATCTATGCGCTCCGTCAGTTTTTGCGTTATATCCGGCTGGGACAAACTGACATTTGTCCCAGCAAACGCCATCTTGACGGTGCGCACAATTCTTGGCCTGTTGTTGCCTGATCTGAAGCATATCAGTCTGCCGATGAGAGCTCTAGCCTTTGCGATACGTTCCTCAATTCTTCTTCTCCATGCTGGGATAGCGCTACTATGGCCAGTAGCGCGTCCAGCCGTGGAAACCTTGGCGTCTATGATACGACAGACTGCCAGCGCGGCGCCAAAAATAATTGAGTCCGTCTCGCAAAGGTCCCGGCTGGCTTCCAAATAGGTCACCAGCATTGGGTTCAGAGCCCTCACGACAGCTCGATTCCGCTTGCTTGGGGCTATGCGGGGAAGTCGCGGTCGATTTTCGAGAGGCGTACTGCGCGTTTCCACAATCGCCTCTTCCAATGTACTCCTCATATGCTCTAATTCCAGTTCCTAGGTGACTGTTCCATCATCGCTTGAATCAACCACAACTGGGGTATTCACGGCGGCATCCACGTTTGCGGATTGCTCTACCATTTGTGGCGCCGCATCCTCAGCCGTAGCATTCTCATCCGACGAGGGAACAGCCTCACGTCGTAGCCGTTCGAGTTCGGCGACATCAAATATATTTGAGCGCAAGATATACCGAACTCGGTCTGCCAGGTTTTGCTCTGTGATGGTTAAAGATGGCTCCAGCTCAGCAAAAAGACGATGCATCCTAGCCCGATACGCCAAACATCCAGTTTCTCCCCCTTTCGCCCTAAAATACGCCCGCAATGCGTTGCTGTTCATCTGGGTTGTCCAACGCATGCGGCGTACTCCACCAGAGGCGGGTGCCGATTGCTGGGCCCGCGAAGACCCTGCCGACACCAAGCCAGCTGGTGGGGATGATGGATGCGAGGGGCTGCTGGGTGGTCGTGCAGCACCTCGCGCTCGGCTGGCGGTTCGCATGCTGCCGCGTCCGGCGCCAGCTCCAGACGCACCCTGGCGACCTCCAAGCAGCGGCCCTTTGCGCGTTCTATTTAATTCCATCATCCATTTTTAGGGCGTCATTTAGCGGGGAGACGCCCAGACCCGGCGCCGTTTCATGTTGAGGCCATGTGCACAAGCGGGCCTTTGCACCTTAAATTTTTGCCGAGGCACGGCACTAACACCTCTTGGCAAGGTGCTGACTGACTGCGCTGACGTAGCGGTTTTGTCACATAACCAGTTTTGTTACGTCAGCGGGCGATGGGGTCGTCACTTCCCTACGCCTTTCGATCGTTATTATTATGGGGTATCTATATAGTTTTCTCATCTGGTTGGGTTCTATAAATATATAATTATAAATGAAAATGAAAGGATAAATATACATAAATATCAATAATATAAAATAAATATAAAATTAAATAAATAATAAAGCCCAACCAGATGGAGGCCCTCGGCAGGGGAGACCAAACGGCCGAGGGTTAGGGGGAAAGGGAAAGAAACCGGCAGACGATGCGGGCGGTATCGAGGAGCACCGCCTTCTGCATTTGAACCTGGAGCGGTCCGCCACGTAGTCCCAGCCGCCTCAGATGACCCGAGAGGCTGACTGGGATTAGCCCGTTTGCAGAGACGACTACAGGAATAATTTCGGTCGGCAGACCACCCCACATATCGGTCACCTCGTGAGCCAGGTCCAGATATTTTGTTTGCTTGTCTGTTTCGGCTTTCACGAGGTTCTCGTTATACGGAATGGTAATGTCGACCAAAAATATCCTTGACTGTGCCCGGTCCATCAGCACAATATCAGGCTTATTAGCAAGAATAGTCCTGTCTGTGATGATGGCCCGGTCCCAATAGAGCCTGGCGCGATCATTTTCGAGTACGGCTTCCGGCAAGTACTTGTAATACGGCAGTTTCCGATCCATGAGACCGTATTTCAGAGCGAGCTCCTGGTGTAGAATTCTGGCTACTAGGTTGTGCCTGTGCAAGTACTCAGAGTTAGAAAGCGCCGAACAACCGGAGATAACATGCCTAAGTGACTCACCGGGATGGCGACAAGCTCGACAGATGTCGACGGTGCCATCCTTTAGGATGTATCTCCGATAGTTGTTGGTCTTAATAACTTGATCCTGTATTGCACAGACAAAACCCTCGGTTTCCCCCGAAGAGATCACCAAAGCGTAGCCAGTGGAGGGAGGCTACTGTGTCTACGAAAGGCTCATGTAGAGCCTTGTAGAACCTCCCGTGGAACTCCTTCTCCTTCCGTACGGTCTCCCGGTCGGAAATGCTCTGCACTGCCGGGTCTTGCCATTGCTCGTTGGCTAAGGATAGAGGGGTAAGTCCTTTATCACAAGAAATGACGTCCTTATAGAATGGATCATCAGATCTCGCCAGGAAGTAATCACGGAGGCTGCACACTTCGCGATTATGCATGGTGAGCGCGCTCAAGAAGCCACGACCACCATGCTTCCGCGACAAGTACAGCCTCATTACCGACGATCTCGGATGATGCATCCTATGGGACGTCATGGTAGTGCGGACTTTTCTATCCAGGGCGTTAAGTTCAGTCTGAGTCCACCTGAGTATGCCAAAGGTATACATGAGGACAGGCATGACCCAGCCGTTATATGCGTGTGCCTTATTCACACCGGACAAAAAGGCTGTTAAGCACTTTGGTCAAGCGTGCATAAAACACGTCGCAAACTGACTGTTTCATACCAGTCTCATCGGTACCGATGTTTTGTGACATACCCAGGTATCGGTATGTTTCAGCCTCGGAAAGGGTCCTTAAGTTGACGGGCATAGATAAGTCTACGCCTACAGAGTTAGCAACCCTTCCCCTTTCAACATGGAGGACCGCACACTTATCCGTCCCAAGCTCCATTCCAATGGTATTGCTAAATTCACAAGTGATGTTTAGCAATTCCATAAGATGGGAGCGACTGGAGGCAAATAACTTGAGGTCATCCATATAGAAAAGGTGGGTCACTTTTGTCCCTCCTTTCCGTAGCTGAAATCCCCTCCCGGAGCCCTCCAGTAAGGTACTGAGAGGGTTCAGAGAGAGGCAGAACCAGATTGGACTCAGACAATCGCCCTGGAAGATACCCCTTCTTATCCTTATGTGGTTCTCCGCAGCCATCATCCGCTCGCCCAGATGACAAAGGATCGTACTCCACTGCCCCATACACTGCTCGAGGAAGTCTCTAACTGTACAGTCTATCTTGTACAGCTCGAGGACTCTCTTTAGCCATGTATGGGGCACCGAGTCGAATGCCTTTCTGTAGTCTATCCAGGCGGCGGAGAAGTTCCGACGGTTGCGTTTCACCACTTTGCCAATGACCGCGTCAATGAGGAGTGGTTCCTTGGTTCCACGACCACCGCCCCGACATCCATTTTGAGCGCGCGACATCACCTGATTTGAGTCCAGGTGACAAGTGATTCTCGCGCTCAAAATTGATGTTAGTGTCTTGTATATGGTCGGTAGACACGTGATGGGGCGGTATTTGCTCGGGTCTGTGGTACCCTGGTCTTTAGGAACCAAATGAGTGATCCCAGTAGTGAAGAGGCTTGGGAGCGACTTCTGGTTGTGAGCCTCTTGAAACTGTCGGGCGAGCACAGAGTGACACACCACGAACCCCTTCAGCCAGTAGTGATGCAGCCCGTCAAGCCCCGGACTTTTCCAGTTCGGGGCCCTACGGACCGCCTCAGCTACGTCATCCGGCGTTAAGATGACGGGGTCCATGGGCGTAATACCCGCACACTGACTCGCCACAACTTCCGTCCAAGGGCCCTCGCTGTGGTTTACGGGCTCTGACCACAGGCCGCGCCAGAATGCTACAGTGTCGGCCTGATTCGGTGCTGGACCCGTTCCACTTACCATTGGTCGCTCCAATGATTCATAGAGCCTCTTCTGATCACTCTGGAAGAGACGATTCTGGTTGAACCGTGTCGACCTCTCGGTATATCGCCGAATCCGCTTTCCCCAAGCAGCGATTCTCTGCTTCAGATCATCTATGCGCTCCGTCAGTTTTTGCGTTATATCCGGCTGGGACAAACTGACATTTGTCCCAGCAAACGCCATCCTGACGGTGCGCACAATTCTTGGCCTGTTGTTGCCTGATCTGAAGCATATCAGTCTGCCGATGAGAGTTTAGCCTTTGCGATACGTTCCTCAATTCTTCTTCTCCATGCTGGGATAGCGCTACTATGGCCAGTAGCGCGTCCAGCCGTGGAAACCTTGGCGCCTATGATACGGCAGACTGCCAGCGCGGCGCCAAAAAGAATTGAGTCCGTCCCGCAAAGGTCCCGGCTGGCTTCCAAATAGGTCACCAGCATTGGGTTCAGAGCCCTCACGACAGCCCGATTCCGCTTGCTTAGGGCTATGCGTCGATTGGCGTACTGCGCGTTTCCACAATCGCCTCTTCCAATGTACTCCTCATATGCTCTAATTCCAGTTCCTGGGTGACTGTTCCATCATCGCTTGAATCAACCACAACTGGGGTATTCACGGCGGCATCCACGTTTGCGGGTTGCTCTACCATTTGTGGCGCCGCATCCTCAGCCGTAGCATTCTCATCCGACGAGGGAACAGCCTCACGTCGTAGCCGTTCGAGTTCGGTGACATCAAATATATTTGAGCGCAAGATATACCGAACTCGGTCTGCCAGGTTTTGCTCTGTGACGGTTAAAGATGGCTCCAGCTCAGCAAAAAGACGATGCATCCTAGCCCGATACGCCAAACATCCAGTTTCTCCCCCTTTCGCCCTAAAATACGCCCGCAATGCGTTGCTGTTCATCTGGGTTGTCCAACGCATGCGGCGTACTCCACCAGAGGCGGGTGCCGATTGCTGGGCCCGCGAAGACCCTGCCGACACCAAGCCAGCTGGTGGGGATGATGGATGCGAGGGGCTGCTGGGTGGTCGTGCAGCACCTCGCGCTCGGCTGGCGGTTCGCATGCTGCCGCGTCCAGCGCCAGCTCCAGACGCGCCCTGGCGACCTCCAGGCAGCGGCCCTTTGCGCGTTCTATTTAATTCCATCATCCATTTTTAGGGCGTCATTTAGCGGGAGACGCCCAGACCAGGCGCCGTTTCATGTTGAGGCCATGTGCACAAGCGGGCCTTTGCACCTTCAATTTTTGCCGAGGCACGGCACTAACACCTCTTGGCAAGGTGCTGACTGACTGCGCTGACGTAGCGGTTTTGTCACATAACCGTTACGTCAGCGGGCGATGGGGTCGTCACTTCCCTACGCCTATATATTATTATTATTATTATTGTTACCACCACACACACCATTTGAAACAAGGCAGCATGAAACTGCTATTTTACGCTAGTATTCTTTGAGAGCGTGGTACTTTCCCGTTCGTGTCGACCATTCATGTTACAACCATAATATAGCTATAGCATGGCTCTACCCCTGATAAAATTGGATGGGTTCGTAGAAAAATTAAATTATATTTTAAAGTGTGTTTTAAATTAATGAGAGTGCCTGTTGACTCACATATTATATATTATATTGTAGTACAATGTAAAATATATTTTAATTTATTATATATTTTTTAAAATGTCTGCTTAATAACACAGAAGCATTCGGATGATTTATTTATTTTTTAATTTAAAATTGAACTTAAAACATTAGAAGTAGTATGGTAGAGATCACTTTATTCCATAGGTAGTATATTTTCTGGAACCATAATTTCCCCAAGAACATACACACACACACACACACACACATACACACACACACACACACACACACACACAGCACGCACGCACGCACACACGCACGCACTCACGCACGCACACACGCACGCACGCACGCACGCTCGCACGTACGCACGAACGCTGGCACGCACGCACGCACGCAACACGCACGTACGCACGCACGCACACAAGCACGCACGCACGCACACATGCACACACGCACACACACACACACACACACACACACACGCACGCACACACGCACACACGCACGCACGCACGCCCATGCACGCACTCACGCACACGCACGCACGCACACGCACGCACGCACGCACGCACACGCACGCACGCACGCACGCACGCATGTACGCACGCACGCACGCACGCACACGCACACGCACACGCACACACGCATACACACGCACACGCACTCACACACAATCACACGCACGCACACACACGCACAGACACGCACACACACGCACACACACGCACACATACACACACGTAAACGCGCGTGCGCATGCATGTACGTATGCACGCACTCACGCTAAGGCTATGGAAGAGTGTGGCCTTCTGGCATAAGTATTTTAATTACTTAAAAGGAGGTCTCATTTATAACACTATACGAACTTACAATGTTCCTATTACCGAAGTTTTTTTTTTAATGTCGAGTAACTGGTATTGCTAGCTTGCTGCTGCTCGTTTCTAGTATTTATAGAATGTGATTGAAAATCCACCTGTCAAACTTTAAAATCAGTTAACAAATAAAAAGGATATGTAAACTTCAAGTGCTTCACGCGTGCGCTCTACCTAATGTGTGCACTAGCAGAACACGTCTATAGAATAAGCGCTGCTTGGCTGTTTTGTTGAAGTGCGCTGGCCAAACGATTGGATAGACGTGGCCCTATACCTATAGCAATAATGTTTTTAGCTAATTTTAGGTAATAACAACTGAAAGATTAAACTAAAGTAAAAACTCTACTTCTTTTTGACGAATGCAAACTTTTTCTTCTTTGCCCCATTTTTGTAAATCTCAGCTGTTTTAAGTTGAATCTAAAATATAGATATACTTTATCTGAATTGTTTCAATAGTTATCTAGTAATAAACCTCAGTTTATTATTTATTTTAACATGATTTATGTGTATGTTAAAAAAAGTTAGTCTATTTACGGCACAATTTTTATGTATTAGTATGAAATAGTGAGCATACCTAGTGAATTATTATAATTATAATGCTCGTTTCTAGTATTTACAGAATGTGACTGTTAATCTACCTGTCATGCTTTACAATTAAAGCAAATATCGCTACACTTGACAGGGGAAATGATTCAGAAGTGGACTATTATTAACGATGAAGAAAAGAAAAGAAGGACCAGTAACTTAAACTAAATTTTGGGAAAAAATCTGGGTTATGGATTCCTTCACGCAATTGCTTTAGTTATTTTATTTCCTTACGGCCTTGATCTAATTGGGAATTATGTTAGTTCCCTACGACTATTTGTTACAAAATGTCACGAAATGTGCGTTTTGTATATGGTGGTTTTTCATGACGAATGATCGTGCCAAATTCTATTATACGGTCGTATTAAACGAGACTCCTACGCTATAACACCTCGATGTTTAGTCTTGCAATATATTATTAGTATAATGGTGGCTTTACGTCAAGTTAAAATCATTTCATAGAAATCTCCTGCCAATTTTCAACGTTAATTACTTTGACTAATATTTATGTGCAATTTCTGTTTGTTATTACATACTTATGTACAATTTTTATGACTTCACAGTTTTATTTCGCTTTAATTTTTGACCATTTTCTGTGTAAATGAGAATAAAGTAGCCGCCGATTCATGAAACTAACTTAATGGGCATTGGCAGGGTCATTTTCAGAGAGCGATAACTGCGTCTATCCATCATACTATTAACTAATAAGTTATACCTAGTTTATAACAGAAAAAATAAAGTTAGAGTCTATTTATGCCTCACAGCTGAGCACAGGCCTCTTCTTATCACTGAGAGGATTTTAGGGCATTGAAGCGGACTCTTACGTAATAATACGTATTGGCGAACTTCACATATCTTCGAGTTAATAATTATACTAGGTATAATTTATTACTTTCTCTGAGACAACTTTTCTCTAAAACTCAGTAACAAAACGCTTAGCGACGACGCTACAGTGTTTACCGTCCTCATGATGGTTTCTTAGTACGATACGAGTATAATCAATAAATTTCATTAGTGCCGACGATGATGGAACTTGTTTTACTTACGTATTGTGAAATTTACATCGAGCGCTTAACCTCTAAGCTCTAAAAACTACTTTTACGGATTTTATCGCGTTTATTTTTACTTTTTATTTACTTTTATTTTTTTTTAATTCTCGACGTTTCGGGCGCTTTCCAGCACCCATGGTCACGGGGGACTGAGATGACTGACGTCCCGATGTCATTGTTAAACCCGGAGTACTGTATGTACGATGTAATGGTTGGGTCCGTCTAGGCTAGACGGACCCAACCATTACATCAGATTTGATAGGCCACAAATCCTCGCGAAAGAACACCGATTCCTACCAAGGATGATACGTGAGGCTATTGAAATTAAAAAACATCCTAATTTCAATAGAGAAGGAGGCTGGGTACTACCACCTGCTTGGGATCCTATAATCAATAAAATTAAAACTAAACCCAAGCATACCACTGCAAGACCTCAGGACATAGTTCATTTTGCATAGATCGGACCATAAACAATAATTAAAAAAGCTGAAGGTACTCCGGGTTTAACAATGACATCGGGACGTCAGTCATCTCAGTCCCCCGTGACCATGGGTGCTGGAAAGCGCCCGAAACGTCGGGAATTAAAAAAAAATAAAAGTAAATAAAAAGTAAAAATAAACGCGATAAAATCCGTAAAAGTAGTTTTAATCATGTATAGTGTTCGCGTAAATATAAGAAATCATTCTCTAAGCTCTAATATCATAACAAATTCCTAAACAATATTTTTATCTGTGCATTTTATTTCTGCCCGTTTGAACGTAATTTTCAGTGATGTACTGAGATAAGTTGGACTAACTTTTTTATGAAAATGGAAAAAATTGATATCGAGTTGTCGTAAAATTTTTGTTGTTGAAAGGCAATAAATACTTCTACGTAAATCAAAGATGAGTTTGCGCCATCATTCACCACAGTGAAATTTTGGGCAGCTGAATTTAAACGTGGCCGTGAGCAGACGATGAACGTTCAGGACGTCTAAAAACTGCAACTAACGATAACATCGCTAAAATTTAACAAATGGTGCTAGACGACCGCCGAATTGAAGTGAGAGCAGAAGCTATGAAAATGTACAAAGAACGTGTTTGTCACATATTAAAATAAGATTTAATATGTGATAAACACGTTCTTTGTACATTTTGTGCCGCATTTGCTCACGTTAGAACAAAAACGTGTGTCGAATGAATATTTCCAATACTCTGTTCGCGCAGTTTAAGCGCAATAAATTCGAGTTTTGGCGCCGAATAATTACTGTAGATGAAACTTGGCTACACCGGATATATGCCGGAAAAAAACAGTGAAAACAGCGAACTGCAAAGGGGGAATCAGCTACAAAAAAAACAACAACTGTTTTTTCGGCTGGGAAAATGATGGCGTTATCGTTAAGTCATCTTTATCGATTATCTTTAAAAACTATTATGAGCGTTATCACAGAATGCCAGCGTAAAATAGTATCTTAATGCTGCTGTGTTTCGTATGGCGAGTGTAGAGAACCGGACACCCTTTTTACTAGAAACGAGGCATTCCATCTTAGTTCTCACGGGTGACATCGCATCTGCATTTTGATTTGTAATCGAGGATAGATGTAGATGCCCATGGGCCGCAGCAACCACTTACCATCAGGTGGACTGTGTGCTCATCATCCTATCCTATAAAAAAAATTGACATAATTACTTGACAAACTGAAGGCAAAAATTGCGGAAAATGGCCATTTTTACAATATTTGCATTTTTGAAAAAGATAATCCTGTTT